AAAATTATTTATAAATAATAAAATAATGTGTTAAAAATTATAAGTTAATAAATTCGTGGGGGACTTATTATTTTATTAATTTATATTTATTTTAATAATTCCAACTTATAAAAACATCAATAAAAAATAAATAAAATCATCAAAATGTTTGAATGATATAATAAATTGTTTAGTACCTAAGTACGCGGTGGCGGTAGACAATATAATATATTAAAATTTAAAACTAATCCTGATACACTAGATACGCTGAATTTTAATACTAGCATCCCAAATCCCGTGATTATAACTTATAGTACTACTACCTTAATATTTCCATAATACCTAATTAAATTTCTTAAAAATTCAAAAACATATCTATGTTAAGTCCTTCGACTCTTTCCGGAACACTGCCGGAAAAATCAAAAACCACGCTCGCGTATACGTTACGCGTCATACCGGCATTAGTCACCTGGCGCTTTCGTTTACTAAGTAGTAAGTACGGTTACTTAGAAAGCCCGGTGGTTCTTGGAATTAATCTCGTCGGGTAGTAAATTTTCCTGACTTTCCCAAAATCTATGTTAAGTCCTTCGACTCCTTCCGGAACACTGCCGGAAAAATCAAAAACCGCGCGCGCGTATACGTTTCGCGTCATACCGGCATTAGTCACCTGGCGCTTTCGTTTACCAAGTACGGTTACTTAGAAAACCCGGTGGTTCTTGGAATTTATCTCGTCGGGTAGTAAATTTTCCTGGCTTTCCGAATATCTATGTTAAGTCCTTCGACTCCTTCCGGAACACTGCCGGAAAAATCAAAAACCACGCCCTTCTATACGTTACGCGTCGTATGGCTGTCATGTATAGTGCTATGTCCTGGCTTCGCGGCGTCATTTTACAATACTATGATGGGTAGGTGACCCTATAATATTTCGTGACAATTTCTTTACTGCTATCTTGTGGTTAGAAATAGAAGTAGACATAAAAACGGCAATATAAACGTTGTGCGCCTAGAAAATACCGTAATGCAACCGAGCATACAAGTTTTCTTATCAGTAAAAATTTGTCACCTAGCTTTGGTCACCCAACTTCACACACGTTATAATTTCAATATATTGTCATTTATTGTTAAATTGGTAATATCTGTTTTAATATTAATGTTTTAGTTGTAAAAATTTGAGAAATAGTCTTGTAGAAATAAGCCTACTTGTTCTTGACCAATTCTTTATTTCATGTAATCCAATGATGTATCCAATTTATTTAAAATATTTTGTTTGAATTATTATTATCCATAACATACTATTTCCTACCAACTTATGAGTGTTTTTAATAAGTACCTAATTGATAAATTAAATAATTAATAAATCTTAATTGTTATCTTTTGATTTCAGATGGAGAGTTTTCTAACGATGAGTCTGATAGTATGCCATCATTATCATCAACAGGTAATCCGATTAAAAGTTAACTGTTCATTAGTTGTAATATGTTAAATTAGGTGTTCATATTAATAATAAATAAATAAAATTAGTAAAACATAAGTAGACAGTTATAAATACTATAGTTTCAATTTATAAATAATATTGACTATATTAACTGATGTATAGAAATATGTATATTTAGGTATACCTACTTTATTTTTCAAATTAGAGAAAATTAGTTATATAATTTATTATTAAGTCAAGTTTTGTAATATAATTCTGTTAATTATAACATACTTAGGAGGTACTGCAGAAAAGTGAAAACTAATTTATTTTTCATAATATGGTTAATGCAAATTACATAATTCAATATTACTTATTTCAGATGATGAAGTTAAAAAGTCAAATGAGAAAAAACTCACAATTTCTAAAGATCCTGGATGGTCTCCATTAAAACGCTCTGTTGTTCAATCTTCATATGATGGTAAATATTTCATCATTGTTAAAAATAATGTAAGAAAACCTTTTATACCTATCCATTATTATTTATTTATATGTTTTTAGCACATATTACATCAACTCCAGTTATTCAAACAACCGACCAATTGATCTCAGATATTAAAAGTTTGAATTCAAAATCCAAATACTACCATAATGATAATGGTAATAGTATTCGTTTGAAAGATGGTGTTATTGCCCAGACTAATCATTCTAGTAATTATATATATATATCTATACAATATATTTCCATTGCATACATTATTAACATTAATTAATTATTTTAAATAGTCAATACTCCTTTCACTACTAAAACAACTGTATCTCCTCAAAATACTGTGGATAATTATAATAGTTGTTTAAACAGTAATATCATTGCTAAAGGAGACAGCCCACATTTATCATTTGGTAATCTATATACATTTAACTACTTATACATTTTTTTTTATTTAAAATTTTAAAACCTATATCTTTACCTTTTTTGTTTTCCAAGTATTTTCTTAAGGTGTTATTATTTATATATATAATATATAAATATATTTTTTTTTTTTTGAAGCTAAAATAAATTTATTTTCCGACTTGGATAAATCTCAAAACCTTGGTATAATTGACAGTCCAATAAAGATTTCTACAAAAAAATTATCAGGTGCGTTTTGATTAATTACATAATTTGGTAGTTATATTTATTTTGTTCAATATTTTAACTTTATAACCCTCCGCACGTTAAGATCATGACCAGTCGCACATTCAAAATAACTTCGTCCACCGTACCGCTCGTTGTTGCAACCACTCACACTTTTATAATATACGGAACACTCGCGTGATAACAGAGTCGTGTACATGTTTATAAAACAATAGAACTCCTTCACCACGCTGGTTAGTTGTAGAATTATTTGATGGGGAACCAATCATAAACCGGCTGTGCGTAAGAGACACAAAACGGTCCGCTGCCCGTTCATGAACTTAACGTGTGGTGGGTATAGTTACTTAACAATATTAACACATATATTATACTCATAGAGAAATGTGCATACTGACATACTGTAAACTGTTTTAATACAAGTAATCTTAAACGACTTAAACTTAAGATCATCATGAAAAAAAAAATTGTATTTTATAATACCCTCGTTACCCCTATCCGCATGTTTAAAATATACTATTTTCTGAGTTCTAGTAAAGAACTTTTTAATACCTATCTAAAAAGTATAAATAGTTTAAATTATTAATTAATACATTTATATCATATTATTACTACATTTTGTATTCAATAAATTATTTTTAATTTTAATTTTAGTTTTTAGATAACAATTGTTCAATGGTATACAATCTCATGAATAGCCCATCTACATCTAATGAACAAACTGTTCAAAAAGGTAATACAACTGAATGCATATCATTAGAAAATACGTTATAACTTAAGGGTAGTTTAACGATACCTACTTACTTAAAATTATAATGCCTTCAATAAATTAAGTTTTATACATTCAAATGTATACTATCTTTATTACTAATTGTTAAAATTAATTTGTAATTTTGAATATACTTTTAGTTGACAATTGTGTTATCATCAAAACTACTGAAAGTAAATCATCAAACTCAAAACAACAAAAAAGTCTCCATAAAGGTAATTATTAGTAATAATAATAAATATAGACACTTCACATTTCAAACTATAATGTATAGGTCCTTCAATTATATTATTCCAATCATACTAGTATTGTATATTACATATTATTATATATCATGATTAATTTAATTATAATATATGTTCATGCTGCTGGCGTCAGCATTTCTGTCATTATATCTACAACAGCGACAGCGTACAGCACGCACAATGGGCAACTCTTTTATCCCCGCTCTTCCCGTCTCTTCCTACTCATTACATACTCGATCCACTCCATACAAAAACGTATTTATAATGTCTTTGCTCAATCAATGTAAACACCGCCATATTGTTTTATATTTTTTATTCTCTAGTTTTTTTACGTTGTGTCAACATAACCAACAGAAATCGTAATATTATAATACGTAGTACTGTGTGGTGTGTACTGGCGACGCTCGCTATTACAGCAGCTCCCGATCTGTTTTATTATTAATTGTGTACATACACGTTCTATCTTTTCTCATTGTTGTCATCAGTCAAATGACACAATAATCTTTGTAACCTTATCTGATTTTGCGGAGACTGAGTCTGCAGATCATTTACATAACGGATATCAATAAATCATAATATTTCGTTCAAAATCGGTGAGTACACATTCATTTGGTTCCTTTTGTAATATCTACCTCTTTGTTAGAGAATCCGAACTGACTATCGCCAATAAGAATCGAACGTACGGTGATCATTACACTATCATCCGCGTTATTCTTGGCATCACTCGTCACTTGCGTAAGCCCGCCAGCAATCATTGTGTGTTGTGTGAGTGGCCGCCCAGGTCGTCCAGATGCAATACGCTGTGGATCGACCAATCTTATACCTCCACCTCAGTCATTGATGCGTGGACATTCTGGGGCATCAGTGGATATCGTGACAACTGCATATACTTCCGTAGCATAAGTTAGTTGTAAGATTATCTCCACCTATTGTGAGCTCTGTGGTCATTGCACCAGACCGATCCGAGCACAGAGAGACCCCCGCTTATACGTAAATTGCATAATCCTATTTCCCATTGTATAACCTGTATCCTTCACACCTTCGCGTTTCGGTGCGTTCTGGTTCCTTGTTGTCCATCGTCGCGTCATTGCCAGCCACCATCAATCCGTTTAGCTGTGTGTTGGATTACGTATATCTTGGAGTAGGTGTCGTCGTCTTGTCACCTCTAACAACGTAAATCGTACATGCAACTTTGGTTGCCTATCCTTGACGCCGTCAATCTGTTCGGTAGATACAATCGCTACAAATTTATTCTATCGAGCTGGTCCTTCAAATCATCAAAATACCCTACAATATATATTATTAAGCATTCTCAATTCACCCACCCACCATAAAAATTAAATACTAGGGATACCACTTTAGCAAAGTTACTAATTAGGCGCAAACCAATATATATTATTATCTTAAATAATTTTTTTTTTATAAATAAATGATCAGTATGCAAAATTGTTAAATTATATGGTAACAATAAAGTACGAATTCAGATCAATGCAGGAAAAATTGGACATCATGATTCAGCGAGATGAGGAAAACATCTTAACAAAAACTAAGGATTTGAGTATGTATGACACTGGTGATATAGATAATAAATTACCAATCAACACTCAGGAACAGTTGGAAGAATTAGAAAATGATTTGTCTAACAATAAACATTATCGGTGTCAAATGGTAAAGATTTTTAAGAATTTCATACGTGTATGAACTGTTATTAAATAAGTTACATATTTTTATTGTCATAGATTAAACGTTTATCATCTGTGGGAGGAAAGTCAATAAAAATTATGGCAAAAAGAATAATGGCTATATTATTTATACCAGAAATATTATGTGAATTTTCATATAGTGGTCGTAGTAACAAAAAACGACCATTTGAGAAATTGCTTGTAAATAAAATTATTTTTGGTAAGTTAAACTTAAATAACAATATAGTAATTTTGATTTTGTATTAATTAATTAATTTTTAAAATTTTAATTTTTTAGATTCTGTCCTTACAATCAAAAAATTTGCCAATGCTGATAACGCAGCTAATGAAATTGAACAGGTTATTAAGTACTTTCTTATTCAAACTCCATTTAAAATTAAAGATAGGGCAGGAAAATAATTTTTATAATAATCCTAAATGTATTTTTATAGTGTACAGAATTTCTTAATATAATAAATTCTGTATACTTATTAATACTAATATTATAATTTTAAATGAAATTTTAAAAACAATAGGTATTATGTTAACGTTATAAATAGGGCTGGGACTATAATGCCCTAAAAAATCCCGAAAAATGTCCTAAAAAAAAAATGCTTTTATGACCTAAAAACTCTAAATAATGCCCTAAAAACCCCCGAAAAATACCCTAAAAAAAATGCTTTTATGATCTAAACATTTTTTTTTTTTAATAATTTCATAATAAATTACAATAAAAAGTTTAAAAAAATGCATTACAAAAATCTATTACAAGTGTAAGCTGTCAATGCATAGTTTTAGTAAAAAAATTGACTAGAAACGGTGTTAACGATGACAAAACTCGTACTGAACGTCGAACGATATCACCGGACCGATTTAAGATTATTTAACAGGAAATGCGGCTAGAGGTTACTCAAACCTTGTCCGATAATATAATACAAATTACGATTACTACTTATAATTTGTTATATTTATTTAAAAACCATGTTGGTGTAAAAATCTTAAAATAAAATATCAAATTCATACTTGGTTTCCAAAAACTCAAAAAATGCTCCAAAAACTCTAAAATGCCCTAAAAAATTAAGAAAATGACCTAAAATCTAAAAAATTCCAAAAAATGCAAAAAAATGCAAAATAAACTATCTTATTCTCATTCAAATGTACATAAAACAAATTTGTGACAAGACGAGCATTGCACAGTAAGCTTAGGAAAACAATGCAAAGTGCATCGAAATCCCAGCCCTAGTTATAAATAACAATCATAATATACACTACACCTATTTGAATGATTAATTACTTAACAAATGTATAACATAAACGTTAAATTCTTTTTTATATTAATAACCACGCTAAGTAAAAAAATCATTTACATAACCAGTTATTTACATTCTATTTAATTTTTACACTAATAATTTGTTTAAATATAATGTGGTTTCATATATTTTTTTTATGGTTATGAATTTATATGATACACATTTATTTTGTTAATTTTATATTTTAATATTTTGCAATTTTTTTTAATATTGTATAATCACAAGATTTGTATTTCTTGCAATTTTTTTATTATTTACTTTGCTATTGTTTTAATCAATTGTAGATGTTATTCACTTTTCCATTTGTTACATTATGATAATTTAATAGTATTAATCTTTTACATAACCAGTGATTTACATTCTATTTAATTTTTATACTTATAATATTTGTTTAAATATAATGTGGTTTCATATATTTTTTTATGGTTATGATACAGATTTATTTTGTTCATTTTATATTTTAATATTTTGCATTTTTTTTAATATTGTATAATTACAAGATTTGTAATTCTTGCAAATTATTTTATTATTTACTTTGCTTGTTTTAATCAATTGTTGATGTTATTCACTTTTCCATTTGTTATATGATAAATATAGTATTTTAATTAATTTTGCAATTGTCATTATTTACCTCTAGTTAAGTTTTCTCTATACCCACGACCTACCTAACCTCATTATATAAAAAAACTTGTAATAATAATTCTGATTGAACTATATATACCATTCAATTAAAGGTAAACAAACATTAAATGTATGTCATTTAATATATATTTAATGGTTGAGTTCAGCTAGAATATAATATATATTAAGGTTCAATTAACATAATATTTATTCAATTATACAAAGTTCAATGAATATCCAATACCAATTAAGAAATGATCATATCGAGGTCAAATAAATCTTGAAGAAATGGTTTTAACAGGTTAAATAGATACTTATTTTATGACACTCAACTAACATTGTAGATTAAGTGTTCATTCGATCTATTTTTTTTGGTCCAAATAAGATTTATGCAAGCTTTATTTCATCTTAAAACGATCACTACTCAATCAAAACTAAACATTCATTTAACTATAAACATTTCAATAACGACATTAATTTAAAGTTAATTAAAAGTTGGCATGTTATGTGGGTGAATATTATTCCTTCAATAAAATATATTAGATCTATTACTTATGTAAGTACAAATTAAATATAAAGTAAACTATTAAATAATAATAATAGCTCATTATTGATCTGATGTGAGCAGTAAAGAATTTATTATTTTTTATAATAACATAAAACATTAAATGTAATTTTTGGAGTCAACTGGCCGACAATTAGTATTCATTTAGAACCATGTTTACCTACTTAGTATTTATTTTCTGTTCAGAGATTAGCAGAGTGATATGGACGACTGTCGTCATAAAGTTATATTTCTACAATTTAAACCTTTCATTATTTTTACGTGTTAACACGAAGTTGACAACATAATATTATTAAACTGCTATCGAAATAATATTAATTGTCAACGTGTACTGAGAATAATTATTGATATACGACTATCCGAGCTACGAGGCATATTTCAATATTCGTTTAACGTTTAACCTATATTTTATACTGAACTTTTATATTCAAAATCATATTATTTATTCTTTAAAACTCTATCTGTAGCTATATCCGTACCTTGTGTCTCTGTGATGTGTATCGGTTCATAAATGTCTCTGATATACATAAGTATTGCATGGAATACCTATTTATTTTTAAATACAAGGGTCTCTCATTTGCGATAGGTGTAAATACAGATTTGACAAAACCTAACATTTCATAATTATTTAATAAATACTATCAAATTTATTTTTTTATTTTTTTTATAGTTGTATAATTTATAAATTATTTGTATCTATTCATTGTTTGGAAATTGGAATTGGAATAAATATGTCTTCAAATAAAAAAATAAAACTTTGTAAAAAAAAAGACACTTGGATTTTGTACTTGAAAATTATAAAATATAATAAAACAACTATTTTTTATTCTTATAATCTATTAAAAACTATTTCTATATATCAGTACCTATCTATATTATGTTGGAATTATTGGACCACCTCCAGAAAAAAATTGAAAATACGCCACTGCTGACGGGTAATCGTATAAATCATAGACATATAATAGAATAGACCGCAAGTTATCACTAAAAAGTAGAAAATAAAAAAAAATAAAAAAATAATTTTTAAAAACATGCTTTTCTTAATACTACTTAATAAATGAACGAAAAAGTTGAAAATAAACTTACTTTTAAAACAATTTCTTAATGAAACTTCAAGGTTAACAAGATATTACTAAAAGTGTTTATAAAATGTATTTGTTGAACAATTTTTAAAAATTCTGAATTACAAAAAAAAGAAATGCATGGGGCACTTATGATAACTCCTACGTAAGGGCACTCTACAACTGAATCTTTAGATAAACTTTATGATAAATATTTTAAAGATTATTGATCACACTTCCAATTTTTTAAGAGATATTCCTGACTCATAAGAGCCACGGTTTTAATTGACAGGTCATTATGTATAGTGTAATTCGAAACAAAGGTTGTAGCATTAGTAATTTTCCTAAGAGCAATATTCTGAAATTGTTGAATTTTGTTGTTATTGGACAATTTTATGAAAATAGATAACTTATATACTTATGATAAGTCATACGTAAAGTCACTCTACAACTGAATTTTTATATAAACTTTATGATAAATATTTTAAAGATTATTGATCACACTCACAATTTTGTAAGAGATATGCCTGACTCATAAGAGCCCCATGCATTTCTTTTTTTTGTAATTCAGAAGTTTTAAAAATTGTTCAACAAATACATTTTATAAACACTTTTAGTAATATTTTGTTAAGCTTGAAGTTTCATTAAGAAATTGTTTTAAAAGTAAGTTTATTTTCAACTTTTTCGTTCATTTATTAAGTATTATTAAGAAAAGCATGTTTTTAAAAATTATTTTTTTATTTTTTTTATTTTCTACTTTTTAGTGATAACTATAAATTAGAAACAAACGATTTTTTGAAAGCATAATATTTATTATTTTCGGTACATTTGAATATTATAAGCAACTATGTAATATTATATTTTAATTATCTCAGTTCCCGCATTCTTTCCATTTCTTCGAGGGCGAAGAAATTTAGACTTGTCTAGGAAAATTGAACCGACACTTCGTCTTGTTTTTTTCACATGTTGCTGTATGATGGTGCGTTTGGCATCGTTTCACAATTTCATGCATATTGTCATTTTCAGGTGGCATTTCGCAAGTACAAACCTCATCAAGTTTGATCATTCCTTCTGGTGTGTCGAACGATGGATAGTTCTCGATCCATACCACCAAGTGAAGGTGCGGACTACCACGGTTTTGAAATTCTATTAAAAAATATAAAATATAAAATATAAAATACTACTACTACTACTCGATCTTTATACATTATTATTTGTTTACTATTTTATTATCTATACGCTTTGTCAATCTCTATGTAAGATTTTCTTACTGTTTTAACAATGAAACGCGTTAAAAGTTAAAAGTAATTATTATTTTAATAGTTTTATAACCCATGGAAACCGTTTATAAACAAAATTTCGTACCTGTATATTATTTATTCTTCTTCCTCGGAGATGACTTTGCACACCCGTCATTGCCGACCTGGAGGTCCGGGTTCCAAAATGACAACGGATTATTGTATTGCCTTCCAAGACCTATGTCTATACAAATTTTCATAATTTTTCATCGTAAATAAGTGCCTCAAATCGAGCGCACAAGATTTGATGACAACAGGAATGAAACATTGTGAGTTAAAGAAAAGCATGTAAAAAGCATGTAATAATAATAATAGAATAGACCGCGAACAACACATATTCCATGTAGAAATTATAGAAGCCAACATATGTGCTAGTGAGAAAGACTTTAAAGAGGTTTTATCATGGAAAAAAAAAACTGTTTACTCCATGACAAAATAATGGTGATAGTGATATTATCATTTTTTTACCGTAACAAATAACAATAAACAATAACAAATTGTGGCCCACGTTATCATGGGATATATATTATCTACATCGTGATTCCACCTCATAATATAATTCAAC